TTATGGTATGTTTGTTTTATTTGTGAGTATTTATGTGTGAGTGATTGTGTGTCCACATGCCAAAATCAATAACGATAATTGCAAGGCGTGAAATTTTAAATCCAGCACGTACATCGCTTGGATAAAAAGTTAATTGTTTTAATTTATAGCGCATAAAGGCATTAGCCTATATAAATGCATTTGGCAAAGACCGTAAATTATGCAAATATAATGAAAAAGAATTGCAAATGAATTTATAGCATTTGCAAATGCGTCCAACGAGACGATGCCAATACCGGAGCCAGCACCGTGCAGCGCATTTGTTGAATGAATACTCGTATATTACTCATAAGCCGCAAAAATTTATTTTTTTATCCGACCTGTCACGTCGCGATACTTGCGGATTTCGTTGTTGTTGCAATTAGACAGCGAAGTGACGAGCCAGACAGCCCAGACGACAGATCGACCACTGCCCAGAGATGAGCTGTCATCCGGCTAAGTGTCGGCATCTTATTCGTGCTGTGGACACAGCGGAAGCTGCTCACGCTGAAGAGCTAGTTATAAGACTAACATATAGTCGCATATGCACGTGTGTGCACAGATAATGATTTCTACTATATAGTATTACCCACTTGGCAGTATTCTATAATCTAAATGCAAGTGCCTATCATGCACGCTGGGGGCTTCTGCAATGGCAATGCATAATAAATAAATCCTTTAAATGTGAAAATTGCCTGGCACGTCATAAGCGTCCTCTCTTTAACGTCATCATCATCATCAGCATCGTCAGCATTGCACATTGTCAACGTCATCATTAACATAGCCATTATCATTATCATCAACATCTCATAGTCATAGGATGAAAGTGAATGCACTTTTATATGCATGGCTGCTAATTACAGCGACAGCTTGTCTATCTCTCAGTCTTTCAGGCAGTCTCCCCTGCTGCGATTGTCGCCACGTTTCCCCAGAGCTAAACGATTTCTTTTGTATAAAATTATTTAGCACATTTCTCGCGTTTTGTGGCGCTTATAATCTCTATTATTATTTTTTTTTTTTTATAATTTACACTCGCTGTTTGTGTCACTTTTGGTTGTGGCAGTGCATATAATTGCAGCTAATTGCGGCTGTTTGGAAAAGAGCTATGCAAATTTGGGTTAGCACTAAATCGCTTAATTTAGGTAAAATTGGTGCACATTTGGACAATTTTTAGGAAATTGTTTAATATTTTAATTAGTGATTTATTTACTTTATTTTATTAATTGCTAATAAATGTAATTAAACAATTGAACTATTTAGCTGTGTGTCATCAGTAATTAGCTCTAACACAATATATAATAAATCCAAAGAAATTTTTAATCACGGAATTGCGCATTTCGCAATGTATGCTCAAAGATAATTCAAAATTGAACTATGTAAATTTGAGCAGAGTTTTGAATATTATTTACTGTGAGAGCTTTCTCAGCGCCCAATTAATTAGAGACGGGCGTTGTTTCAGCGTTTAATTAATTATACATATGAATAAACCTAGACGATGATGTTGTTGTTGGGGACGGCACCGTTGGTGGATCCGCTTGGACCAGGGCTTTGAGTGCTGGCATTGACTTTTCAATTGAAACAAATCATTATTTGAGCATCGTATATATCTTTTTCAATTGACCGAGCGATGAGCGATGAGTAAAGTCAGCCAAAGCTAGCTGCTGGAGCGTGTCAAAAGATCGCACTCAAATGCATCCGTATCAGATATCATAAACCTATCAGAGAGCCAGCCAGCGAGTGAACTGACTCTCAATGCTTTCAATAAATATGCATATTTTGTACGATCGAAATATGCATAGATTAGTCTTACTATGTGATAGTAATTAGAAAACTGACATGGTCCATTGCAGTCGCATTTGCATAGAGTGGCGTATGCTGCGACTTGTACACGAAAATTTATGCCCAGTTTGTATACAAAATCTTTAGGAGCAATCGGCTAACAAATTGGCCACAAAAACCAGATCGTCCGATTAATGCAAACTACGTCAGAGCGCCAACGCTAAATATAGTTTGCTATTCGCTAAAAGTTCATTGAATATTTCAAATACTTATGACTTTCGAATAAATAAATACTGCAAATATTTATAAACGGTGAATGGCAACAGTAAATCAACAATTGGTCTGTGAATAATAGAATAATAGCAACACACAACTGGAATCAATTCCATTCCATGTTGAGCAAACAGTCTTGTAGAATTGCTGAGATATGTAAATTTAATGCCTTAGACCGTTTGCTAATGGCAACTGAAATTTATTGAAATAATGCAATTGAAAAGTACATCTAGCTGAGCCAGTACGGTTATATATATAAATATTGTATAGAATATTTATATAGAGTATTTCAGCTGCAATGATGTACTTCAGTTGATTGAATTTTTTGACATAATAACCTGTAGATTTTATTTTGCATAAACATGGGTATTGTGTTGATGAAAATGGAGGCGGGCCTGGCACTGGGTAGGCTGATATATTAGGTGGCTTGGCCAGTTAGTCGGGCGACAGGTGCAAAATGCAATTAGTGTTATTTTCAGCGTGGCGTAAGATTGTGTATACGGCATGTGTGCCCGCCTGATGCGAATGAGTTGAAGGTGAAATTGTAATGGTGACGACGTAGTTTATAGCATTGAGACTGAGTCGCCGACACACATTGGATCAGCAGCCCCCTTCCCCGTTCAGCAGCCCTCTATCACCATCCCAGATAGCCTGCTGCGTGAGACGACCTTCAGGCAGTGCCTGTCCATGGGTGCTAACTATGTTGTCAACGGCAATGCCAGCAAACAAACATTTACTACTTGTTGTAGGTATGCTGCAGGTCCTCTTCTTCCCCACGCGACTCCACCGACTGAAAAGGCAGCGCACTGCAGGCACAGACAGCTATGACATATTTGTGTGCATGTGTAAGTCACAGCTGCAGCGCATGGCGTTTATAAAATTGATAATTAATTATCCGGCCAGCCTGCTACTTCCCATTGCGCCTTGTTTTTGCAGCCCTATCCAGTCGCCGGACCAACCTCAATCCCTACCAGGCAGCCCTGGCTTGCGGCTTTTCGCGTATACGCTTCGCTTATTGTGTTTACAAGTGCGTGAAAATTTGCGCTTTACTGCCTATCACGTGCGGCATGCGGCATGCAGCATGTGGCATGCGGCATATGGCCACTGGCCACATGTGGAAAAACAGAGACAGAGACTGAGTGAGCGAAAGAGCGAGAGCGAGAGAGAGATAAACACCCACAAATCTGCGGCATACATATGCAAAATGCTAATTTAAGCCGTGTTGAATGCAGCAGGAAAAGGAATGTGCATTTTCGCTTGAATTATGCGGTAATATGTAGAGAATCATTTCAGAAATGAGCATCTGGATAGTTAATTTAATTTTCATTGTAATTTTAAAGCTGAAGCTCTCATAAATATATAAATGAATTATAATATAATGTATGGATACAACATTTTGCCGCGCACTCTGTGCATTGGGTATATATTAGACTTAATTTGATGTTTGTTAACTTACTTTGACCTTCAGCTAAGATAATTGTACAATCGCAAACATTACTTAGTGTCTGGATCCCCATTAGTAAGCAAACTTCAATCGTAATATGTGACTATTTAGCTACAGCAAGCAGAAATCTAAATCAGAGATTATTGACCTAATCTAATTGCTACGGCTCTAATTGCCTTCATTAACATATCCATAAGATTGAATATGCCTGTGCAAGCATTTGGTTACTTTGCTTTCCTATTTCCTATTTCAATATCCACGCATGGGCGTAGTAAATACTTAATGATATTGAGGAAATGTGAAATTGACTTCATTTGACGTGTAGCAAAGTGTTTAATTATCAGCCACGCAGGAGGGCAGTCAGGGAGGCAGACAGGCTCAATGAGAAGTTTGCAAAGGATTAGTGTAGCTAAAAGAGGGCGGCTCAATGAGATTTAAGTCAAACTTTATTTCTTTGTATTGTATTAGTTAGTTGTTGGCATGGATATTGTTACCTCTGGCTCTGGCTCACTGGCTGAGCTGGCAAATCCCTAACAAAGCCAATGCGCTGACCGCATTGAAAGAAAGAGCCACTAACAGAATAAAAAAAAAACAATGTTGAACTAGCCAACTGAGAAAAGGACACGAACATGACGACCGGCCAGACCTTCGAGCCCCATCCAATGCAATTACATTAAATCTTAGCTATTATTCTTGTTCTTTTACTTTGTATTTGTGTGTGCCCACACAACTTTTGCTCAGTTTGCTCTGGCTCAGATCGGACTTTGCCCGGCTGTGGTTAATCGCCCACGATGTGATTGAATTCCATCGAACGCAGGTTACGAGCAGCGGGCAAGGGGTGGCAGCTGCGGCCAATCGGGGGGAAACGGCTGCGGGCTCGCGTAATAAATGAAATAGAGTCTTCTTTGCTGCTTGACTTGGCTGCATTCGGCTTCAGCCTGCCCGCTTGCCTGTTTCTGAGAGGCTGACTTGGTTTATAGCCATTGCTAGCCACTGGCCACTGGTCACTGGCCACTTAACTAATTGCGTCTTTGTGTGCTCCTGACACGCGCCATAAAATTAATACGAATGCTTTTTTCCATTAAGCATAATCGAAATATGCGTGCAGCTTGCCAAGCCCTAAGGTAAACATCAAAATCATGAATATTTATGATCTAACAGAGATCAAACATCTTAATGAGTGAGTGAAGTAATAGAAGATTATAGAAAAATGTTTTAGTTTAGTAATTAAATTACCGAAAAATGCCCGAACGCGAATAACTGAACAAAATTGTTTCATCTGGAATGCAAATTCAATACATAAATTATAGAAAATATTTCGTCTTTGCAGATTTACAGTATACTAACAAGTAAATTTAGTATATAATAATTTTGGCGTGATGTGAGTTTAAGATTAAGTTAAAGGAGTTCCCAGCGTTCTATAAAAATTATGTGCACATCCAGCTCAAGTCATAAAACAAAATTTTCATTTTTGCCAACCTTGCAGTTCCTTTGTGCGTCATGCACGACACAGCCGGCAAACCGTCCCCCATAACCACGCCCACACAGTCGCCGATGGCAACGACGGAGCCCGGAACTGGGCCAGCTGAAGATGAGGATGAGACCGATGTGATTGGCGATCTAATGGGTCACTACGGCAAATGGCAGCTACTGATGACAGTGCTGCTGTCGCTTTTCCAGGTGCCAAACACGTTTCACATATCCTCATCCGTCTACCAGGCGGCCAACAAGGACTTCTGGTGCCAGCGTCCACCACATCTGCTGCAATTGCCCGTGGATGCTTGGAGAAATCTGAGCAGCTCCCAGGACAATTGTCATATGCGCGCTGGCATCGATTGGAGCCAGCTGAGCAATGAAACGCTGCCTTCACAAATGGAGGTATGTATAGGGTGTTCATGCATGAAATCCCATTTAAATCCACAACCAGCCACGGGTAACTAACGTGTTTATCGCCGCTTGCAGCAACAGGCAGCAGCAGCTACGACTGCCAACGACGGGAAGCTGATTGCCTGCAACAGCTGGGAATATGCGACAAACGACAATGTCGGTAACACTTGGACCTCGCAGTGGGATCTGGTGTGCGACAAGGAACATTTGAAAAATGTGGCCGAGATGTTCTTTCTGCTGGGCGTTGCAACAGGTGGCATTATTTCCGGCTACCTCTCCGACAAGTTTGGTCGCAAAACAATGCTCTTCATATCGGCCGTGCTGCAGACCATATTCGGTAAGTGGGCCACATAACATCCACAGCCCTATACTATCATCACCACCATCATCATCATCATCATTGGCTGACACATAATTATCCTGCCGCAGTGACCTTTACTGCCAGCTCTCAATACACCCACACTCACCCAGAGACATACAGACGGAAGTGACATTGGCAAATGCCGCCAGTGTCGCCTTTTGACTTTGAACTTGGCATTGGCGACGGGGTCAACGTTAGGTGGTTGCTACAGCTGCAACTGCAGCATCTGCGGCATTTGCCTGCTTGTGTTAACCTTGTTGATTAAATCACGTTCAATGTAATTGGAATTTGCATACAAAAGGACATTCCTAATAAGCTATCGGCATGAATTGGCCAACAACGTGATGCCTTACAATGTATTGTGTGTACTTTGCCTATCCATTTATGAGGTACATGTCTCAAATTTATTTAAAATTGGTTTAGTTAGGGCAATAAGCACATATGGACAAAAAGGGCAGTGCTAAACCGAATAGCCAGAGGCAGACTATGCAGAAGTCCTCGCCGTAAAGAGAGCTATAGAACAGAAGAGTCTATTCTCTATACCATCTAATAATAATTATTATTAATTTTAATGTACATAGCATATTTGGCATATCAACATTTAGTCTTATCAATCATATATGTAACGAGGCAATCCGATCTAACTATGCGTGTATGCTTGCCTATAGATCTGTTAGTATTTCTGTCTGTATATATGTCTCTTTGCCTGCCTCACTGTCTGTCTCGCAATCTGCCTCTCCGTCTGTGCCTCTGTCTGTCTAAAACTACAGAAGATCAATTAAGTTGTCTATATGTATGCAGCAGTATTCATTTGATACTTATATTTAAGTAAAATGCAGTTAGAGAGTGCCTTCAGCAGAGAGAGGTCACAAGCTAACGAAGCTAGAATGCCTGACGTAGCAGAGAGCACTCCCATTGGTTAGTTAAAGCTCGACTGCAACGATCCCTACGAAACTAACGAAGCTAGAATGCCTGACGTAGCAGAGGGTGTTTCCATTGGTTATTTGAAGCTCGACTGCAACGAGACCTACCTGGCTTCGGGCTCAACATTTGAGTGCGACTCAGAGTTTGAGTGAGAGTCGCCCTATATATAGGGCAGCAGTTGCAGCATTTCTTCAGTCGCCCAGGCCCCGTGGGGGTCAGTAGTGCAGTGCAGTGCAGTAAAGTGAAGTGAAGTGAAGTGCGTGATCGTGCAGCTAAGCATTAATGACTTAGAGAAAATACTTCAAAGAAATACTTAGACGAAATACTAAGAGAAAACACTTCGAAGAGAAATTCTTAGAGGAAACACGAATAAGAAGCACTTATAAAAAATACTTAGAAGAAATACGTAATACTTACTTCTGCTTACGGACAGACAGACAGACCGACACGACCACGCCTCCTTCTGCCTGTCACATACATTTAACATACCCTGATTCTCATTTTCAATGCATATATGTATGTAAATTAAAATTCAATCCTATTATTACTAATATTCTCATCCCTTTAGGTCTTTGGCTGTACTTTTGCAGTTCCTTTGAGCTATATTTAACGCTGCGTGCCCTGTTGGGGCTCGTCTCCGTCTCTGTGACCTATTCGGGCCTCATTCTGGCAATCGAATATGTGGATGGCAAGTGGCGGACAATAGCCGGCATGTACAACCTATTCCCACTGCCAATATCGTATATGATAATATCTGGATTGGCCTATTTGACGCAAGACTATCAACGTTTGCAGCTGTGCATTGGTCTCCCAGGCATTTTCCTCTGTTTTCTCTGGTAAGATCAATTAATTTCATCACATTTCCAGCTGAAGCAAAATCTGTTCGCAAAGATAAACAAAACATGGCGCGTGAAAGGTGTAAATTGCCAATAAAATATCGTGTACACATAAACAATAAGTAAACTATTATGCCTGCCTATGTGTGTGTACCGCATTGATCATTGAATCGGCTGAGCAATAAATGGCAATAAAGAAAAAACTGCGCGTGGGTGTCCCAATTATAAACATGCACACACATTTATACAGTCGAGGCGTCTCTGACTAGACGAGGAGGTGTCTAATTTATGAGTGTGAGACTGAAACTATGTCGGGTGTGCTTCTCTTTGGCAGGTTTGTGGTGCCGGAATCACCGCGTTGGCTGCTGGTCAAGGGTCGCATTGAGGAAGTGAAACGCATCATTGAAGCTGCGGCGGTATTCAATGGACGCCAGCTGCCCCCAGACTATCAGCTGACGCCACCTACGCAGGAGAGCAGCTCACAAGACGTCACATATCTGTTCCGGTCCAGCTACTTGAGGCGCATCTCCATCTGTTTTCTGTGCATTTGGTTCACCATGAATCTGGTCTACTACGGCATTATCTTGAATATGAGCTCGTTCGGAGGCAATGTCTACTTGAATTCGGTAAGTTGTCAACATTTTACATGAACGCTAAGTAACATTTAGGGCATCGAGGCACCGCTTGATTTCACTTGATTTAAGCGCATTAAGAAATTCTGTTCCAGGCCCGAAATTTCCTCTGTAACTTAATTCAAATTGTTTCCATCAAACATCAAGTCTCAATTTTCTAGTGACAAGTGCGTCGCGAACACATTTAACATCTAACAAGTGCTAAGTGCCCGCCCAGTCCAGATCGGTCCACTAATTGGATCTGTCAGTCTATTTACTATGGCTGTATGTGTGTGTATGTGCGTATTTGAATGTCGTGTCAGCGTGCCACGTCCAAGGCAGACAGTCGGTCAAAAGGACAGGCAAATGTGTTTACTATCAAATTATGATGTTGCTTACAAGAGCTTCAAATAAATAATGGTTGGGGATGTTGCTGCTGCTGCCGCTTCTGCCCAAATCACCCCCTCTATCCTCATTCAAACTTTTAAGAATCATGTGCGGAATTTGGCGAGGTGCCAAAGGCAAATGTTGCATGAAAAAGATTTTTGAAAAACTTAAACAAAACTTTTTAAGCTGTCTGCTGTTTGTGAAATTAATAAATTATAATTTCGAATATTCTATAAAATGTAATAAATTTAAATATTTCAAAATTATTATTTTATTCCGAATGAAAACAACATTAAGTGATATTATTACTAAATTCTATACATTCCAACTTTTATAACTGAATATTGTTGACAGCTCTATAAACTATGATATATTTTGTATGCACTAAAAACATGTTTATCGAATTTCTAAAGCAAAAGCCAAGATTTTGAAATTACAAAATGTTATACAGTTTGCCTGACAAGAATAGAATACTAGAATAACTACAATTTGGAAGGAACATATAATCTAGCCAATATCACGCTAAGTGAGCAGCACTTGTCACAACATAATATCCAAAGTATTTTTTCCGTAGAAAATTTATTAGTTAATTTATTTTGACATGGCATAGCGCACCTTTGATGCCGCTTTGATTTAGTGCGGTCCGCCAACATTCGAGTAGATCTGTTTTTCTGATCTGTCTGCCCGCGATTTTTCTTGCAGGCGCTAGCTGGCCTAGTCGAAATACCTGCCATTGCGGTGGCCATGTACATTATCACCAAGGTGGGCAAAAAATGGCTCTTTTGTGCCACCCTGTTCTGTGCCGGCGTCGCTTGTTGCTGTGCTGCGATCACTGAGGGACGGGAGGACATGCTCTGGCTGAAGATCACATTCCTGATGATGGGCAAGTTTACGATCAGCGCTGGCAATACCATCATGCCCGTTTACACCGCCGAGCTGTATCCCACGCCCATACGCAATGTGGGAGTGGGCGCTTGCAACGTTGCTGCTGGATTGGCGCTCATATTAACGCCCTACTTATCGCTTCTGGTATGAAATGAAATTGGACACTAAGAGACCAACATATATTAAATTTGTATTCTCTTTTGCACAGAACAAAATCGAAGGCCACCTGCTAATGACGCTGCTTACCGCTGGGAGCATTTTTGGCGGCTTTGTGGTGCTCTTTCTGCCGGAGACAGCGGTGCGAAAAAATGCCCCGTCCGCAACAAATCGCCAGAATGCAGCTAAGCAGGTGTAATAAATTAGAGACGCGTTGCTCTAATACGCCTCACCGCACTCCCAATACTCCTGTCACCTAAGAAATATTTTGGCTGGTCCAAAGTATGTAAATGAGCACACAGGCTACCAGAGAACTACTTAATATCAAGCCGTACCCACTTGAATCGCTGCCCAGCCCCGATTTGACATATCCACCGCCTCAGCCACCGCCACCTTCTACTAACCAAGAACTCAAGTAAATAGCGCAATTAATCGAATGTCCATGGAATGCCATAAGTCTAAAAGTCAGGCAGGACCTTATTTGCGTAGCAAGTAGTGAGTATTTAAAAATGAAATAATATATTAAAACAAAAATGTTATTCGTAATGTAATAATGGCTTTTAGCTTATAATAGTGTAAGAGTAAATAAATAAATCTTGTTAACGAAGTCACAATTCGGAGTAGGTCAATCTCTTCGGTATCATCGAAGATGTACAAATTTCACATAAATATAATACAACAGGAACTTTAATATATAAATTATTTCAATAATCATTTTTCTGATTTAGAAATTATTAAATTTCATTTTTTATTGTTTATTTTTAGGGCCTCTTATAAAGGCATTCTTATTTAATACAAAATTGTATTTAAGATTTTGTTTGCTTATAATATTGATAATATTAGACTCGTATCCTGTTCATATTTTTGTGAGACTTTCGTCGGGTGTCCGAATAACTAAAAAGGAATATATTTGAAAAGTATTGCTCAATTATTTACTCTATCAGCAACGGAATCAACAGCCACAATACATTTAAGTCAAAAAATTCTTGTCAATATGTCTTGTCAATATGTCAACGTATACATAATCTCGTTGTTGTTGCCGTCTTCGATGTGCTCGTCTATTACCAAATTAATATACATATATAGAACATGCAAAACAAATTAAAGTAATTAATTAATTGAAGTGAGAAGTGTTATCTCTGGTAAATGTAGTCAATTATTCGCTTACTAAATATCGGTCAATTATGCATATTACATAAATATTAATTATGTATACATATTTATAAATATATTTAGACGTATATGTATTTGTATATAGACACGTACATGCATATGGAGAACAGGTAATGCTGCTTGTTGATTGTTCATACACCTCATATTGCAAATTTGTTTCTAACGAAATATCATCAACAATAATTTACAAATTTCCACAATAATGCATTTAAATTTATGAATGTATGTAGTTGAATATAATATAATTAATAAATCGCGTAAGAATTATAAATTTGTTGCTATATGAAACCGTCAAAATGCTTGTTGTACTTACAAAAGATATTATAATATTATTGTTCTTATCTCTAGGCTTTTATGTTTGTTTATGAATTATTTTGAATTGTACTTACGAGCTAAGTAGAAACTTATATTATGCTTATCTAAAAATGCAAAATTTATATTTGAAAATAATAAATAATACAATTAAAAAATCACATGTAAGTTTAAGATTCAAAAAAAAAAAAAAAAAAACAAAAAAAACATAAAATATATATATAACAGATGAATTTGTAATGTTAAAGGATAATGCGAGAGCTATCAAGTTACGTTTTTCAATGTTAATGAAAAGAAAGTAAGAATCTATGTTAACTTTTCGATATTCCATCTTAAATCGTCTTTAAAGCTGATGTTATATGCTCAATGCGCAACTGGATTTTAGGAAAGAACAAAATAATAATGTTAATTATGACATACACATATATGAATTTGTTGTAAATCAAAATTACCAAAGCAACGTAAATCAATTAGTGTCAAAACAAATATGCTTAAAATAATACAAAAATAAAAATAAATAAATATATATGTATATGTGTGGAAATGTTTACTGCAAGCAACATATGGCTCTAGGCGGAAAGCTTTCAACCTACGACAACTTTCGAGTCGTTGACTTAGGCGAAGTTTTGCAATTAGATTTGACGCAGCTGGCAATGCCGCCATTTCGAGCTTTTGAGCTTTTCGTCATTTATAATAGCTTGACTGAACTTTTAACGGATTTAGATCGTCGCGAAAAGCAAAGCAAACAATCGACGGCGCGACTTCGAACAGTACAATTGATCAGCAAAGAAAGGCAATAATATATGTACAGAAGCGGAAATAATTTGAAGAAGTGTTTCACTTAGACTATTAAAAATTTTTTATTTCCTCGATTGCACTATGAGTGGTGTCTTGCGTCGCGGTTCCCTGAATTTTGATTGTGTTGGCAGCTCACGGGGCAGCCTTGATTCAAACCTTTATGGCGGCTACCGAGAGACAAAGCCAGCTCCAGGCACACCGGAAATAAAAGTAATTGCAATGGATTTTCGTCGCCATTCCGACGACATAAAGAAGGTCGGCCTGATGGCTGTCGGCGTGCCAGTCGCTAGCCCTGTCAAGGACCTTAGTCAGGATGTTGATAGCGATGTTCTATCCAATTTTCTGGGCCATTATAGCAAATGGAGCTTTATGTGGACCTTTCTGCTCTGCCTCTTCCAGTTGCCCACCACATTTCACTTGTTTATGTTTGTGTTTCAGGTAAGTTTCTGTTTATGGATTGACAAATATTTGCACAGTTGATTGCGTCGCTCACTCAAAGCCAAATTATAAATTGCCTGCGGTGTTTTTTTGCTTAGTGTTTTGTGTGGTAAGACAGATCGAGGGCAATTATGCATTACAACAGTTTTAATAATTGATTTGGTTCGGTGATGGGAAGAGAAAGTTATACTTGTGCTGATCAATCGATTGATTGGTTGAATTTCGTTTGATCTCTTCCATTATCAAAATATACCAAGAAATGTGTGCCAAAAGCTTACTTCATAAATAAGACGTAAATGGCTTCAATTAAAATACTACAACCGTATCGATCCTCAGCAGTGGACACTTCAGTAGTTTTTTAATGAGTAAGTGCAAAAAGAAAAATAAATAATATCAAATCTCACATTCGACGCTCGCTGGTAGTCTGTTATCTTGCTGAAATAGAAAACTTGTGATAACATAAAAGCCCCGGGCATCATAAGTATACGGCCCGCCACCACTTGATAATGTTCTGGTTCTTACCCTGTCAGCAATACGTCGAAATTAATAAATGTCCATGGGAGTGCGAATAATAATACCTACTTGCAATACATATGTGGTATAATCTACATACAACACAAATTTGTTAAAATTGCATGCCTTTAAGGCATTGTTGATGTCGCGTGTGCCATGAAATCCGCTCATGATCGACCTTCGACAAATTTGCATTGCAAGCATTCATACTTATTTTATACGCACCCAATGGGCTTCTCAAGTTTGCAATCTGCCATCATTTGTCACAGCGAATATCTGTCAGAAACTTAGATAAATTTGCGTGCAAGTCAATTGCGAACACCGATTTAAGCACTTCGATTGTTTGATTCGGGGCACGATAATAACGATAATCGACTAGCGTGCTAATGTGGATTTGAAAAGGTAGCCCAAAACATACAGAAAAAAGAAAGAAACCACAGTGTACCTTGACATGTACGGTGTACATACAATAGAGCTTACTAAATACGAAAGAATATTGCAGCATCAAGAAGTCAAGAACTTAAGATATATGTACCTTAGTACGACCACTAACCAGTCAATAATTTCATGTTCGTAACCCCCAATCAAGGGGCCATTCTTATAAGAACAGAAATAAAATTGGCTAACTAACGAGCAGCTAATGTTACCTAAGCTTAACTAATTGATCGGTTGCATATGATGTAATATTATAAAAAATTGCAATCATATGAAACTCCATATACGTATTGCTATCATGAAATCTGTATGTAATATAATGGTACATAAGGCCTATAATTAAAAGTGGGCTAAAAAATGTAAGCAATCAAAAATCAAAAATATATTGTCAACTACTTTTTGAACAAAATATTACTTTTACATATACATATTTCAGATATTTGCATATTAGTACGCAAATGCTTACGCAAATGTCCGACTTTGTATGTTAACACAATTTTGGGATCGGCATAATTTTTGATATTGTTCATTCTGACTCCGTTACCTAACCCTACCCACTCTATATGCTACTGAGCTTTAAAATTTAACTGAGATAAAATATGAAAAATCGCAATATTTTAGTCAAGTGCAAAGCTGAGCTGACACTGCTCACACGTGAATGTTAAAATTAATATGTTAAAATCTTACAAATATTCTAGTTATTTTATACAAATAAAAATATAATTTTTGTAATAATTAAAAAAATATATATATTACTATTCTCATATAAATAAATATTTTTAAAAATGTTAAATTAAAATTAGAAATGTCATTCTGGAAACACTAAGAAAGTGGTAAAAATGGCTTCACTCTTTTGCTCCAATCCCTATTTTTTTCGTAAAGAGTCTCTGAGATTTATGGCTTGAGAGCTTCACTAAATTCAACACTCAACTGGGTTAATTTATGCTAAAGCTCGGTTCATCAGTTAAGCGCAGCTCTTTTGAGCGTCATTTCGGCTTTGTTCAATTTTATCTGAATACCCCTTTAAAAATCTTGTATGATGGCGCACCTGTGCAACAGTGACTTCCACTTCGATTTCAACACCTGCCCGTCTAACAACTCAGTTGTAAGAGTAAAGAGCACGCTTGTGGTCCACTATATGGCCGAGGCTCTCAGCAATCACACACGAAAACATTAGTTACGCATAAAAATCGAACTTTGCATATGCCTATGTGCTCATTTTCTACTCATTTGCTGCTGCTTTGAGTGCGTTTCTTAACTGAAAATATATATATTCGCAAACATTCTAAATCAGTTTAATTGTGTCGCAAGTGGTAGTCGGTTGACTTTGCTCTCTAATTCGATTCAAATCGAGCGCTCTTAGTATGCAAACGGTCGAGATAAATACAGCTGGCGAGTCGTCGCCCATGTTGCTAGCCACGCCCATGGTCGGCACCGAACAGTTGGAACTTCTCCAAATGAAGACGTTGCAACGACTGTTGGGCTCCGTTAGCCGCTGGCAGCGCATGTGGTGCGCTCTGCTATCGATCCACCAGGCCATTTGTACGTTCCACATATTCGTCTATGTGTTTCAGGTGAGTGATCCCCAGAGCCAAGACCTTACAATGGCCATATAAGTTACTTAACTGCAGTTACACTCGCAGTCGCAGTCGCAGTCGCTGCGAGCGTCGTTGCACCTCAACGCCTCAATAGCGACACGAAAAAGCCCCAACAACTTGTAACCTTCTTTGATGTTCTGCGAACAATCACAGAAAAACTTTAATTATAGCATTCTGTTTGAATTGCCCCGTGTTTTGTGATAATAAGTAGTCGTAGTGTTGATAAGAATTGTCTGAATGTAGTAAACGAAATGTTGTTTAAAACAGCATAACTGATCATAATGAGTAATTTTCTAAATATAGTCTAAAGCGCTTTTAAATAGAGATATAATAATTTAATTTGTTATTCATCTTTTATTAAGAAACGCGTTTGTTTAAATACTTCACAAATCTCAGCAATTTTATTCAATTCTGGTTAGACCAGCTGGCTCAATCGAACTGCGCTGAGCTGACAGAGTTCTTAAATGCCTGATATATAACATATATTGATAACTAACTCACCTTACCTGAAATGCTCGATTTTCGAGCACCTTAAACTTGGATGTGAGTTGTTGCGACTGCAAAAGTTTTCAATTAATTTCCACACCCACTGATCTATATCAGGTGCTGGCTAGAGGTTGCGCTAACCAAGGTTAACTTTGAAAGGTTACTCCGGCGCCCCGAGCAAATGGCGACCGTTAAATGTGTCTAAATATATTAATTAACTAAGAATAATAAAAATACGCAAATATTGCTGGGCCAGTTTGTTTGCCTGCGAGAGACGTACACTGGTTAAACTTCTCTTTGGAAATTTACGTTTATATAAATGCCAACCGTTCTCCAATATATCAGAATATATTTGATCTATAAGTATATACCACTGCAGTAGGTTAGTAATCATACAATGACCCCACACAATGAAGCAAAATTAATAATAGGCTATAGAATGCAAAAAAGCCAACAGGCTTGCAAGATCTATTGTGTGATGCTGGGGTATTTGTAATCAGTCATCTTTCAGTATTCGCCCCTAAAAATGTATTTATATGTCTACATCAAAATCGTCATATTCTAATAAAAAATTATGTATGGATTACATAAAATAATATAAATAATTACTTTCATTTTAAAATGAGCTTAGATATGATCAGCACATAAATAAGAGTTGGAAACTTTAAATACATAACAAGGCTCATCACACTTTTCGCTTTGCTATTCATATAAAGAGGCATTGTCGGCTGAAATTTCAAGCCTAATTGGAATCAATTAATTGTTTATTTCTAACAAAGGCTCTAAACAGTTAAGCAAACTTCAATCCAACATTGCCTGACTGCTGACCAGTGTGCCCGATGTCGTCATTATATTAAATTGCAATCAGGTGGAAAAAATAAAAATAAAAAACAAATATTAAATAAGACAAAAGCACACAGATACTCGCTGTCAACAATCGGCTCGAGCTCGTGCAAATGTATCTGCAAACTCATTCATCAAAACGACACAAGTTATAAGCGGTAGTGCAGTGGGGTGGTGTGGCTTGATGGTTGCAGCCTGGTGGGGATCATGCGGCTGAGCCCATGCTATAAAATTCTATGTTGGTTTTGTATGCAAATGCCTGAAACGTGACAGGTATGCGCCGCAACAGTTAAAACCACAAACAACGGCTACACGGACTCACAGTTTATGGCGTGAGAGCACGGCACAGACGGATAGATAACAGCATTGCTATATGTCCACATATATAATCAAGGAACGAGACCAGCCGGTAGTTTCGCTA